ATGATGTATAAGAGCAGCTGAAAACTAATATTCATACAAATTTTCGCTCCGAATGAGTTTTTGGTTTTGTTTTAGTTCCCAATCTTCCCGTGAGTATCACTGGAATCATGATGATGTGATACTCACGGGAAGATTGGGAACTAAAACACCCGTTGTAAACACAAAATGGCCGTGGCATTTATCAATCCTTCCTTGGATCCCCGGATCACTGTTTCAGGACTGTTGATACATGTATGTGAAAAGAGAGACGTCCAAAAGAGTGCTTCTACAAACCTTATAAGAGGACTCTACATGATTAAATCGGCTCCGAGAAAAACAATGCTCAGTAATACAAAGAACATCGAAGCATGTGACCGTCACGCTCGACACAGATGAGGAACGTATAAATGTACCTTGTGTACAAACCTACCGCTATCCAGAAACTATTATGCAAACTACTAGTCAATCATCATCGTATACTTTTAACATTACAAGGATCTTCATGTGTCATAAGAAGCATAATACACAGATTTAGCCAAGCCTAAAAGCGGAGCTCGTCAGTTATTTGTTTGGAATGTTGTTACTAATGAAAATAATCCAACATGTACATGAATGTGAGGTAAACTGCGAGCGATTTTATAGTTTCAGCCCGAACTAGGATTAAATCAGCAGATTGAGGTGTAAGATGGTGTGATGATGAAAATAGAGCCATGATTTCAAGGATTTCAGGGGAGCCACCAAAAATATTAATCACATAACAGAACTGTCTTCNAGAAGTTTACACATTTTTTGTTGTTGTGGGGTATGACTGAAATGCAGTGGTTACAAAATATGCAGTCCCCAAATCTCTACCAAATGAAATCTCACAAAAATACCAAAATGGTATACACATGTAAAAAGTTAAAAAGTTTTGTTTTCTAACTTGATCCCCAAAGATAGTCAGCCATCTTCATTTTTGTATGGAGTCTCCTCCTGCTGAAAGGGTTTGCACCATATCTCAAAGTATAAGTATGAGCAAAATCATTCTGGCATGAACGATAAACATGATATTTTGCTGCTGATCATGAACACAGGCTTCTGATAATGATTTTATTATTCAATTCAAAAGTGATTTGTTCTTTTTCTCCACTGAGATTGTGGACTACAGGAGCTGCTATTGGGTACCATTAATTAATTTTGCTATGAATAAATTATACCAAGTATTGTAAGTAAGCTATGAGTAAGTTATATTATGTACGTGTATTTTGTC